GTGCTGCGTGGCGGCCGTCGCTGCGTTCGCAGTAGGCGGGCGGCGGAGCCAGGTAGAGCGAGGCGATCCGGAGAGGCTGGACGCCGGTTGGTGACGACGACATTGTTTCAAGGCACAAACAAGGGTCGCTGAGATCGCGTGGAGGTACTTCATTTCAGGAAACCTGATGATGGCGCAAGCTAAAAAACCACAGTCGACGTTCCACTGTAGACGACGACATTGTTTCAGGCACCAACAGGCACCAACAGGCGTCAATGAAGTCTGAATTGAAACGCAGAGATACGAGAATGCAAGCTTGAAAGTCTAACGAAAGGAAATTGTTTCGGGAACACCTGTTCCGCAAGTAACTTTAGTTGCACGCTCGAAAGTCCAAACAGCAATGAGGAAATTGTTTCGGGAACACCTGTTCCGCAAGTTGCACGCTCGAAAGTCCAAACAGCAATGACATGAAAGAGACATTGTACAGGATATTGAAGGGCGCGTGCCCACGTGACTCGCGCATGCGTGCAGGTTGGGCCAGCTCGCTGGGCTGGCTGCTAACTCGCGTTAGCATGCTAACGCTCATGGTATTCTGCTTTTCTGCTGACTGGCTGCGCTTATACTTGTTCTAGTATTTCATCTCAGTTTATGCATAGTATTAACTGTAGTTAACACGGACGTAACGCTCTCTCAGCGCGTGCCCGCCTGCGTTTACTGCACATAGCACACTGCATTCCACATCTACACGTAGCGCTGTCGTTGAGCTGCCCACGCATGCCGCTGTGCACGTGACACGGGCATAGTTTGCTCCACGCGGGAGCGTGTTCCCCTCTAGCTCTGTCGGTAGCTGAACCTACCAGCGCATCTGACCCCATATGTGCATGCACTCGTATTCTTTGTTCCTGTTGTTGCTTACCACTCTCACTTTTGCTCCAACACTAGCTCTTTGCCAAATTTTCAATTTTTCCAAATTTTCGGTTTCCTGTACCTCCGTTTTCCATTCAAGACAATGGCCTCCCCTGCGTTCAGTTCACTCACCGTGCGAGACCTACACGCTAAACTCGTGGAACGGGGAGAAAGCGGAGCTGCTTTCCCGGTTGACCAGGCAGGCACAGTGGGTTGGTCAAAGACCATGATTGAGATACGAGAGGTACCTGGTTCAAGTCCTGCCTGGCAGCGGTTTTCTCTAGCCGTGCTGCTACCCACAGTCAACTGGGAACTTGTGGCCAGGCACAAGGGGTACATGGATGCAGCTAATCGGGTCGTTCTCGGCACTTGTGCCAGTGGTTGTGAGACTTATCCACTCACCCCCACCGTTAGGCGCTGCATCTGCCGCTAGGGTTTATCGGGTGTTAGCGGCCGTCGTGAGTTCCCTTCGGGAACGGACACGATAATTTTTTTTCCCGGTTGATGCAATCCAAAGTCGGTCCCCACGAGGAGTCCTCTGAGACCCCCACCGAGGCTGCCCGACAAACTTTCGAGGACAGGGAGATCCGCGAACCTACTATGCCTGTCGCCTCCATGTCCGCGGCAATCGCGACTGCCCTGAAATCGTTCATGGACCGACTGGACCGTTTGGAAGATGCAGCGCAAACAGCAACCTCAGCCGCAGGTAAGTCCACTGTGCATTAGTCTAGTGTTTCCTGGACCATACTGCATGACGACGGGCCTGTAAAAATCGTGATCGATAAAATCATCACGCACCAACTTCTTGACTTACAACAACTGGTGCCCCCGACCGCCACGGATGTGCCAAGCCCCCACGCTCTGGTGTTGGGCGAGGAGGCATCCGGAAAACTCACGCTGTCCTCACAGCCACGCATGTCCCGGCGCATTTCGGACACCAGAGCGTGATCGATAAAATCATCACGCACCAATTTCTTGACTTACAACAACTGGTGCCCCCGACCGCCACGGACGTGCCAAGCCCCCACGCTCTGGTGTTGGGCGAGGAGGCATTCGGAAAATTCACGCTGTCCTCCCAGCCACGCATGTCCCGGCGCATTTCGGACATCGAAAATTTGCTGGAAGCATGGACGATATTCGCAGCCTTTTATCTAGATGCGCTTTCGGGCAGAGCAGTAGAACTGTTGACGTATCAGCACCTTATTCTGAATGCCAGCAAGAAATTCACGTTTTCCGCAGTTGCGGTGTATGACCGCGCCTTCCGCCACAGCATCGCGTCTCAGCCGTCATGTCGTTGGGACGCAACACCACAAACACTGTACACTACCGTGTTTGATGCCCGTGCCGTGCGGCCCTTTCGGCCCAGCTCCGCAGCAGCCTCCGGCGACGGCCTCTCGTCAACCGAGCAGTGTCAACTCTACAACCGGGGCTTGTGGCGCTGGAACCCCTGTCCGTACGTTCACGAATACAGCACCTGCAACGTCTCCAGACACAGTGCACGAGATTGTCACACCGGGCAACCGGCCAGCACCAACAATCGCCCTGGACGCCCGTTCACTTGGATTGGCTTGAGTCGGCTCTGGCCAGGCACCCTGACCGCGCATTCGTTAACTCCCTTATGCATGACATGCATGACGGTGCTGTAATCGGTTACTCCGGTGATCGCTCTCATTTTGTTGCTCCCAATTTAGTCTCTGCATTTCAGAACAAACAAGCCGTGTCTACTTACCTGTCTAATGAATGCATCGAGGGTCGTTTGGCCGGCTCGTACACCCACTTTCCTCACGCAGATCTGCACTGCTCTCTTGTAGGTGTGGTCCCCAAGAAGTCGGGGAAACTCCGTTTGTTCATTTATCTGCGCCTGAGGGCACTATCATTAATGACGGTATAAGCCAAGACGAATTTTCGCTGCACTATGACTGTTAATGATGCGGTGCGGCTGCTGCACCGGCATGGCAAGGGGGCCCTGTTGTCCAAAGTCGACCTACGCATTCCGACTATGTCCCGTGGCCCCGTCTGACTGGCCCTTGCTGGGCATTCACTGGGACAACGCATTCTATGTTGACAAATTCCTCCCCTTTGGCCTGCGGTTCTCTCCATTTCTGTTCAACAGGCCCGCCGACGCTACCTCGATGATTTCCTCACAGTTCAACCCCCACAGCCGTCAAACTATGCTCGTCGGCAGTTTCACACGTTACTCGCAGTCATGGAGCACCTGCAATTCCCGTTAGCCGAGGGCCCTGACAAGGTGTGCCCGCCGTCCACAATTGTCACATTTTTGGGCATAGAGTTAGATTCCCAAGCATGGGAGATGCGGCTTCCAGCCTCAAAGCTGTCGGAACTAAAGAGCACCCTTGACTCCTGGGTACACCGAATACAGTGCACCAAACGGGAATTGCTCTCGTTGGCAGGCTCTTTGTCATTTGCCGCCAAAGTACTACCGCCCGGGCGCACTTTCTGCTGCCGGCTCTTCGACGAGGCCAGCCCGTTCACGTCCCTTGAAAGGACCCAGCGCCTGAACCAAGAGGCTCTAAATGATATATCCTGGTGGCACGCTTGCATTGAGTCATGGAAAGGCCGATCACTACTGCTAGACCCATCCTGGTGCAAACCCACCGAGATGCAGCTGTTCACGGATGCTTCTGACCGTGGCTATGGATTGGTCTGTGGCAAAGAATGGGCGGATGGCCAGTGGGAGGCACTCCACAAGGATCTGTCAATAAAATGGCACGGAATGTTTCCCATCGCCCTTATCTGTGTGACGCTAGGCAAACGACTGTGCAATCGTCGACTATTAGTTCACTGTGATAGCGAAGCGGTCTGCACAATCTGGCGCACAGGAACCTCTACGTGCCCAGAGATCATGACACTTGTCAGGATTGCGTTGCTAGCGGCTGCCAAGCATAATATGGTTTTGTTTTTAGCACACATATGTGTGCAACGTTCTTGCTGGCCGTTTGTCCCGGCTTCAGGTTGAGAGCTTCCGGAGGCTACATCCCCAGGCGTCTCCTGTCCCCATGTCGCTAGAAGTCCGGCAGCTGACACGCCTATTGACCACACCATGGGCCTCATCCCTGCGGGAGTGGCAACAAGTACCACCCGGTCGTATGCCGCCGGTGTGACGGCATACGAGAGGCACGCCAGCCTGCACCGTGTCGCGCCATACCCAATTCAGGCCACCCGCCTACTGGATTTCCTAGCATACATGTCATCCAAGTGCCGGCTAGCAACTATCAAGGTCTACTTCCATGGCCTCCGGCATTACTGCGTGGTCAACCACCTGTCGTTGTCCCCGCTCCAGGACGGGCGACTGGACCTGCTGCTCCGGGGTATCGCCCACAACCAGTGCACAAGCAGCCACGTGCAGGAACGCCGTGCTGTCACGCAGCAACACCCCTGTGTAATCCGGGGCTTCCTGCCGCACTCCGGTCTATCACCGGCAGACCAAGCCATGCTATGGAGCGCTATCACACTTGCCTACTACGGGTTCCTGGGAGTCAGCGTTCTGCATTCCACCGGCCTGCACAGTGGTGGGAATCCTTTTCCGTGTTTACGCTGGCGGGAACGTCACATGCGCGATTCACCTTGACAACTTTCACATTCCGCTTGCTTTTCACGCCAGTCTGAACGTGCCCTAAGCACTGCCCTCCTAGCACTCATCTATTGTCTGCTGATGTCTCCTCACTCCAGCTTTCTCCTGTCGGCGTCACGTCCAAGTACACAACAGAGAGGACTAATAATAAACAGTTCATGACACTAACAGCATTAAATACTGCCCTTCTTTCACTTTGTGAATACAATAAACCAATTGAAAATGACCAAATTTTGCAATGATCGACCTTCTCTCCCAAGGTGCTAAGCAGAACGTACGTTATCAATGCGCTGGTCGTTATGGTAATGTGAGCATACAATAATTGGTGATTTGGCAAGCTTGGCTTATCGTATGCAAGCAAGAGGTATGCCTTTCGAACTGACATCAAATTGTATTTCATCTGAACCCCACTTGAAACATCGATGCACTTCCCCGTTAAAAGTATGTTGCCGAATACATGAAGTGTACAACATGCGCAGAGGTGCTAAGTTGAAGTGCAATTTAATGATTGACATACATTTAACTAAGGTGGCTTACCTGAAGCGCTGGTCCTCACGATCACAGCAGCAGTAAACTGTGATGGCAGTTGACCAGTTTTTGTGTTGGAAGATACTGAGTAGTTTGTGTATGGATAGAGACCTGATATCGTCACATTCAAAGTTTTTTTGCATAGAACAACTTCGGATGTATTATTTTTCACACAGAAATCTGTGGTCCTGTTTTCAAAGGTGGAAAAGTGTGCAGTTATTGATGTTGAATTGGTGGAGTATGTCACAGTTGGGAGCATTGCTGAAAATAGAAGCAGCAGATAAAAAAATACATTCACAACCATGTCCTTCACAAAACGTTCTTGCTATATCTGCCTCTTGTGAATTACTTGGCAGCTCTATTCAGGTCAATGTCTTGCCATTTCGAGTATGGGCTAAAGGGGAAGCATGGTCTAGAAACAAAATTTCACTACTCTAAGTCTTCAGGATGCTGAGTCGAATGGTCTTGGTTCTAGGAAGCTGAGAAGCTCACTTCCTCCTTTATTCCCAATCGAACTCGCCGCTTCCAAAAGAAAGGGATGACGACGCCCTACTAGGTATGGATTTGTATGCAAACTGTCACTAGAAGTGACATTTCGCTTCAATAAAAGCACGGAGGAACGAGATTGGCCCATGTTCTGTAGTCTTTAGGATGCTGAGTGTATTGGTTTTGGTCCGAGAAGGCTGTGATGCAGTGTTCGGCCCATATTCCCAATCCAACACGGTTGAGTAAGCGGTCGCATATTGATACGCACAACAGTCACCTGATCACTATTTCACTGTGCCTGCCTGCAGGCTATAACTTATCTGCAATCCACGCGGGCGCGTTCCTGTCACTCAAGTTGAACCTTGGCGTGAAAGTTGTACTTCCTCCTGAAACAAAAACTTCGTGATTTTCTGGATTTGACTTTTCAGGGAATTACTGTGCTCAACAAAAGTGTTCTTTTGGAAGAGACACATTTCAACACATTCAATCGACATATCTACAATATCTACAGGATCGATTAGTGGGAGTAGAGCCTCAGTCTGGGTCGCCATCGCTCGACTTATCACCGCGGAAACCGTTCCAAGTGGCAGATCGATCGACGCGATGTCGTGTCGTATATCACGGAGAAGCTTCTCCGCATCCCTGATCATTTTCGCTAGTACCTGAATACTTTCTCCAACATCTCGGCGGAGACCAGGGTAGCGCTGCAGTGCTGGTACTCATTGCCGCCTCCGCTCTCGCTCGAGGATACCCCGGAACAACAACAACAAAAAACACTGGCGACGCCAAACATTTCAAATTTCCTCCGAGGGATATCATTTTCATATCAGCACTTCCCGACTGCCGCAGTCCGATCTCGACACCTCCTTTGCGACCAAGGAAACATTGTTGTGGCTGCTGGAAAAGGCGAGATTATCCAGGTTGAGGTCTGGGCTCAGAAGTAACTGAATGACTTCTATATTGAACTTGTTCATCTTGCTCTGCAGCGCGTAGTGACGATTGTCACATCTTTGCGTTTTGGAGTTTGACACCTTGCCGACCTGTTCGCATGCAGACAGGCGTTTCGGGGATGGCGAAGATTTCAAAACACTAGCTGCAGTGCCTATTCAATTTCCACTCTTCTTGCTCTTCGGTGCCATTGTCCAGCTCTGTCAAGTTCAGAACTAACAAAATTTAACAGGTATGATGAGCACTGAGCTGAGCACCTTTCCTCCCATTGCGCCTGGTGGACGAAAAATGAAAAGCATGTTCGCTTTGCTTTGTTTGCAGCGTCGACACCCTTGCTCTGCGACGACTGTCGGCTCTCATTTGGTGCCGAAACCCGGGTTGATATCGAAACCCAGGTGGATGCCCCGGAAAAGTCGTCGTGGTCGTGGAAATACAGTCCAAAAACAGCAACGTGGTAGTGCTGGTTGTGAGCAGACTGATCAAAGTTCGAGTGTCAGTGCTGTCAGTGTGACAAATTTGGACGTCGCGGACGATAAAGGAACTGTTGCGGGTGCGGGTGCTGGCCGGTATGCACCATGTCCTCCAAATTTGATTCGTATTTGAAACAGTATCGTGGAGCTCGCGATGACTTTCATGTCTTTTGGAGAAAGTTTATGGTGGCTGCTCAACTTCAACAATGGACAACAGAGGAAAAGCGAATGGCACAACTTCCGTTATTCTTGGATGGAGATGCCTTTTTAATGTGGGATGAGCTCTCTGATGAGGATAAGAAGAAAGAGAACAGTGTGAAACAACGGCTGCGTGATGCCTTCACGCTGTCGACAGGCCAGGCGTATGGCCAGCTTGTTACGCGCACCCTTGGTCGTGCCGAGAGTGTGGATGCATACGCTGCAGATCTGCGCCGGTTGCTGATCGCAGCCGGACATAAAGTCGAAGCGGACAAGTCACCCATGCTCATTGAGCAGTTCATCAGGGGCTTGCCGTCGACGGAAGCCAATCAATTGACATCGAATGGTGATACGTCATCAATTGGAGCCTGCGTGGCATATGTTCGTCGCCTGCGCACTTCGGTGTCGCATATGTCGGGTGGTGTGTCGGCCGTAGCAGCGTCTTCGGTGGAGTCGCTGGACGAGGACAATCCAGTTCAGTGCTGTGCTTCGAGTGTCATGAAGTCGGGTATATTTCACGGAACTGCCCGAGTAAAGTTAAGAAACAACGAGATAGTGCAAGTGGTAACTCAGGTTGGCGTCCGATCTGTCACTTTTGCGATGCGGAGGGACTCCTCAAGAAAGATTGTCCCGAGAGAGAAGCATGGAAAAAGTCCGGCAGTAGTAAGACATCAACCTCTGGTGGGCACCAAAACACGAATTTTAACCCTTTGTGTACGGACTGCACTACTTTGATGCCCTGGGATCGAAGCCTTTCTAACTTTCAATCGATCGTAAGGTTATTTCCATACACAAAAATAATGTAGGTCGAACCGATAAACCCCAGATTTTTTTGGTTCTAATCCATTCGTACAATGAAGATGGTACTGAGTAAGTTAGACGGGACCTGTCACCAAAACCGTCTCTGTCTTATCTTGTAGTCTTTCGATTCCTGGGTCCGATAGTGTACTTCGCTTTTCTTTGAGATGATTGGAAGTGGGTGAAAATAGCTTGCATAGAAGGGGCGCCTCCGGGTCCAGATCTTGGGGAGTGAGTTGAAGGCGGCGGCGGCCAGTTGACGCCTCCGAGCAGCATCTTCGGCGTCACCCAGGAGGGAGCCTAGTTTGCGGACAGTACGCGACGTTTCTTGGTTCCTATCGGGAAATCGGGCGACGGTGGTATGCTCTGTCTTGGAGGGATTAACGTTCAGATTCCATCTCGCAAGAACTGTTGGAGCGTGTTGTTCAACTTCACTGAGAAACGTCTCATCCCGGCTCACAAAATCAACATCATCCGCGTATGCGATATCCAGCGGAAGGTCATTGTCCACAGCAGACCGAGATGGCAGCTCCTGTCGTAGGTCTCGGAGAGCAGCCTCCAGGTAAATGGTGAAAAGCACTGGAGAGAGACTGTCCCCTTGAGGGACTCCGATATTTGTCTTGAAGGAGATTTTCGATGCACCTTTCACTCAAGGTTCAAGCCAGGTTTCAGTCAACAGTATACGGATCATTCGGAGCTCACTTTCTTGGAGGAAGGATTCAAGGATCTTCATCAGGACGTCGCGGCGGACAGTGTTGAATGCTTTACTCATGTCAATTCCCAATATGTGGATGGACGTAATGAATCGCTGCGTCATACTGCATAGCCATCGATGGCACCACACCACATCACTTGTGCTGCGGCCACGGCAAAAAGCACTTTGGGATGTAGCCAGGTACTGATCATCCACTCCTCCACAGTTGGCAGTGGATATGTATCTTCGCTTGGCCAACGACGAGGGCACTGAACGCTTCAGGGGTCGACCTCGGACGACTTTGGTAACGGTCTTGCAGACGGAACTGTCATCATGGCATGGACTTACCCTCCACCAGCCGCTAGATGCTGACGCAGTCCGCACAATGGCAGCGGACCGACAGGCATGGCGTAGAGCCCGCCCCACCTAACAGGACTGATTCTCGTGATCCACGTGATTCCGCCGGGCATGTTGTATGCATATTCTATTTTATTTTATACTTTGGATGAAATTTTCCATTAGTCCTATTGGTATTGTTGCTAACGGCTTTTGTTGGCGTCACTTCTGTCATTTCATTGTATCATATTACTCTTCAGACATCAATCCTGAATGGCATAAGCGAAAGTGGCACTCCCGCCACCTACGCGGACATGCTTTTAATAATAATAATAATAGACGGGGCCCAGAATTTTACCAAAGTACAGTGCGACACCAAGCTGCACACGACCTCCATTATTGTATTCATACTCAAAACCCAAATCAAAATCGTGTGTTGGTCACTCGAGCTATCTGTTTCCCCCTTTACGGTGTCCTTGGGCTTTGTGAACTCGGACAGCAGAGCTGCACAGATGGTAACATCGAACAAAAGGAGATTGATGGTAACATCGAACAAAAGAAGATCGGCAAAGAGTGAGAGACACATGTTGAAGCTCCATAGCCAAATGGAAAGCTTTAGCCTTTTGACATCTTAAAAGGTGCTAGTACGTCCTGGATGCGCACTCCAACAGCCTTTCAACTTGGAAGTCATACTGCTGTTGTAGTGCGCATGCAAGACGTGCTAGAGCTGATAGTCAGTTAGTTGTAGAACGTCAGTACCGTTGGTCAGTGTCGTACAGTGTTATCACATGGGCTGATTGTTTAGTGACCGATGGTGTTTGTGGACATTATAGCATAAATTGTACTTCCTTGGTCCTTTTCTCTACTATAAACTCTCATTTAAATCAAGAATATCTTACGTAGGCATGGAGGCACACTAGGCACTGTCCAAGTTCCACCGGCTTGGCATGTGATAGTTTGTGTTGTTGCAGAAGGATTGACAGCATAGTCAGAAGAACAAGTTATTGTCTTGGTACTGCCGACTGTTGTAGAACCAGCTATTGGATATGTACCTCCAGTTAGATTCGGGGGTGTCTTACAGTCTCCTAACAATACAGTTCAAAAAAACAATGGAATATTCTAAAAAAATTTGATTGACAAAGTACATTGAGTGTTACGTTTTTCATTCTCACTTGGATTCAATACTGTTCACTAGCAATGAATGATTTCAAGCATTTTGACATACTGCACATATGGTTATAGGTTTGGTGGGGGCTGCATGAGTCAGCTTGGGATAGGAAGTGTACATGTATGTGTGGTCAAAACATTGAGGAATAGGAGACCTGCCAGCTGAGGACCCTTGCTATTCCTTTTTTTACCGAGGTCATCATTACTGTTATTCGAGCCGATCGAAACATATTTGCAATCCAAGAACAGGAAATCAATACTTGTATTTAAGATATTTCCACAAATTCGAAATACATGCATGGTGACCTAGGTCTAACGAAAGCATAGCGAGGCCCCTGAGCTGGCAGCACTCTCTCTCTCTCTCTCTTTGCAAATGTGTAATGGGCACCAAAACACGAATTTTAACCCTTTGTGTACGGACTGTACAACTTTGATGCGCTGGGATCGAAACCTTTCAAACTTTCAATCGATCATAAGGCTATTTACATACACTAAAATATGTAGGTCGAACCGATAAACCCCAACTTTTCTTGTTTTTTATCCATTAGTACAATGAAGTAAATTTGACGGGACCTGTCACCAAAACCTTCTCTGTCTTATCTTGTAGTCTTTCGATTCCTGGGCACGATAGTGTACTTCGCTTTTCTTTGAGATGATTGGAAGTGGGTGAAAATAGCTTGCATAGAAGGGGCCCAGAATTGTACCAAAGTACAGTGCGACACAAAGCTGGACACAACCTCCACTATTGTATTCTTACTCAAAACCCAAATCAAAATCGTGTGCTGGTCACTCGAGGTATCTGTTTCCCCATTTACGGTGCCCTTGGGCTTTGTGAACTCGGACAGCGGAGCTGAACAGATGGTAACATCAAACAAATGGAGATTGATAGTAACATCGAACAAATGTCAATTGGCAAAGAGAGAGACACATGATTTAGCTGCATAGCCAAATGGAAAGCATTAAGAGAGCATGTCTGAGAAAACCAGAAAAGCTGGGCTGGGCCATCTCTCCGATTTCGCTGAAATATTGCAAGTAAGTTTCCTTTGGGGTCCACAACAACCATGCAAAAGGACTCGTTCCATAACTGACGGACACCTTGGAACTGGGGACCACCTCGAAATGGGCCCAAAATACGACTGAATATTGGGTCCATAAACGAGCGCTGGTACAGCGTACACGATTGAGCTGAGAACAAACCACCACCATGCCAACATTACCTCACCTGAGTAGTCTTCACATCACTACATCACCACCACATAGAGCCATGGCTACATCCAGGAAAGCAATGGCCCTTATCTCCAAATATCACGAAATAATTGCATCGCTAAAATAGCCAAATTTCAAGGGCCATAACGGGAACCATTTACGACGTCTATTTTTCTGAACCATGCACTGCAGGACAGTGGACCATCTCCATTACCACCCAGGACATGTCTTGTAAAAGGTGTTCCACGTTTTCTGGAAATAAACAAATTTGAATATTTTCACTTCACCACATTGCAACACTGCCAATTTCCTACCCCACGACGGAAAGCGCCTCCTCAAGCTCCAACACCAGGCACCGCTCCAGACGCCAGCACGCCAAACACTGCAGCGTGGTCACCTCTACCGAGTCTGACAAGAAAATTTGAACTGACAACCCTTGTCACTCCAAACAACAACCATTTCTTTCCCTGAACGAATCGAATTTCACTAGCACCAAAGCTCTGCAGAAGTGCAAAAAAACGGAACAAATCTCGATTTGTGGGATCGAAGCACGATATTTTTGCGTCCTGAAACTGGCCGTGCGCCGACCACCGCGGGCCATGGCAGATCGACGGATTTGATCGAGTTGATCGACAAACAAGATCAGAATCATATCTAGACGATCAGGTTGATCAGCAACACTATTTTAAAGGGGAAGTTAAGGCAAAAATTAAAATTTCACCAGTTGTAGTCTTCGGGGTGCTGAGTCGAATGATCGTGGTCCGAGGAAGCTGAGACGCTCCCTTCCTACTTGAATCCCAATCGAACTCGCGCACTTCCACCGAAACTGGGTGACTGCGCCCTACTAGATGGGGATTTGTATGCAAAATGTCACTAAAAGCGCCATTTCGTTCTTATAAAAGCACGGATGACCGCGATTGGCCCATATGTTGTAGTCTTTTGGACGCTGAGTCGACTGGTTTTGGTCCGAAAAGGCTGCGATGCGGCGTTCCTCCTTTATTCCCAATCGAACATGGTTGAACAAGCGGTCACGTGCTCCTGCGTACACCAGTCACCTGGTCACCGTGCCAGCAGGGTACAACTTACTAGCCTGTTTGACCTTTTTTGGGTGCAGCATGTCACTCGAGTTGAACTCGAGTTGAACCTTGGTGTGAAAGTTGTCACCTGCTGGCGTGGTGACCAGGTGATTTGGGCACCCAGGACCACGTGACCGCTTCTTCAACCATGTTCGATTGGGAATAAAGGAGGAACGCTGCATCGCAGCCTTTTCGGACCAAAACCAGTCGACTCAGCGTCCAAAAGACTACAACATATGGGCCAATCGCGGTCATCCGTGCTTTTATAAGAACGAAATGGCGCTTTTAGTGACATTTTGCATACAAATCCCCATCTAGTAGGGCGCAGTCACCCAGTTTCGGTGGAAGTGCGCGAGTTCGATTGGGATTCAAGTAGGAAGGGAGCGTCTCAGCTTCCTCGGACCAAGACCATTCGACTCAGCACCCCGAAGACTACAACTGGTGAAATTTTAATTTTTGCCTTAACTTCCCCTTTAAGATGCTATGATGTATGATGGCATGCTGCTTGAGTGAACCATGAAGAGGCACGATGCCCTGGACTTCATGATATGGGATCTAGCTGCAACCTGTTTTCCAGGCAACTCATTCGACATTTTCGGCCACGTAGTCGCCACGGGTTTGAGCACGTGCTTTTCAGGTGCACTCCGGACCTTTTGGGTACAGAAATGCATCCACAGCTAATTCTTGTGTCTGGTAAGTTGGTCGTGTGTTTCGCGCATTTTTGAGGATGCCAACAGAAATTTTGTGTAGTGCGCATGGATGACATCTGTTGCCGGAGCGACATAGCTCGACATAGAAAACACTGTTGAGTTCTATCGACATAATGTCTCCATTCCAGGACGGAATAAACTTTCCAGCTACCTAACACTATCCTTCAGTTGTCAATTTGTGATGTTGAAGAAGAAATGGCTCCAACTTCAACGGAGGCAGCGGCTCAGGATCCTAGTAGACTCGAGCATTTTGCGTCCAAATTTTGTCGTCAGAGGACTCCTGTGGCTTCTCGCGCAACACAGAGAAGGCCTGGTGCTGAAATCAACACCCCGCTGCGATGGGGGATTGTCACGGAGTACCAGAACCTCCTGGGCGATCGTTCTCGAGTGCCTCCTGGCGGATTGAAATCACTGCAATCGCTGTTTCCTTGGCAGAATTTCAGCAAACGCGTCATCCAGAAACTCGTGCAGAAAGCACCAGCATCGCTCCGTCCAGTTTGCTGATCTCTCTCGCAGTCGTTCACGATGTGGCGGCCGACGAATCAAGATCACAGAAGAGATCATCGAGAAGTTGATCGGAATATATAACCGGCCTTGAGGTCGACTTTCAGGCGACAACCTGGCTGGAAAACTGAATGGCAGAAAGGGTGAATTATCCGGCAGATACGGTGCGGAGTCCTCGGATCCGCGCGCGCGGAGCCGTGATCCCGATGCGTCACAAGATCGCCAGTCTCCGGGGCCAGTGGATTCATGAAACACTGGAAGCAGGGAAGAGCACGCATGCCATGGTCTGACTGCATGACGTGTTGACACAGCTCAGACTCAGTACGCGCGGTACACAGTGGTCAGAAGTGATTTTTTATGCGTGGTGTTTACTTGTTCGCCTCATTTGAAGGTGTCGTGGGAGCTTCAGGCGAAAACACCTACAGCCACCATTCTGGTAGTCGTACTACACGAGGAGGAGGCGAAGTCGATCGTGTAAATTGTGCCTATGGAGTGAAAACATCAAGGAAGCGCAGTGTAGCTTGGAGGTGATGAAAAAAATGTCGACGTTTTGCAGGTTGACGCACTTGCAGATGCGCCCTGAGACACCAGCAGCGATGAAAACTAGAAGGTCAGGCCAAGAAACGACACAGTAGTTATCTATCTACCGTCTCTTGGTTGATTTTTTAGTACAGGTGCTCGTTTGTACATATGCTTGAGTTTTGAAGTGAAGCGCACATTTTTAATAAGTCGGACCAAGTATATTCCTGCAACCAGATAACGTGATGGGCTCAACACATTATTGGTGTTTTGAGTATAGTCATCCGAGTCCTCGAAATCGAATTTTCATTACGAGCTGAATTTGAAAATATCCTCCTTGCCAGGTCGATGAAGTCGTGCTGAGACCAAACGCTGCGTGGTCAACCAGCCCTGCATTGTCACTGATTAGAGTGTCAACCTTTTGGAGCCAAATAGTTGCTCGACAAGAAAATTACAACAAGCAGACTTACGCTCGCTCCTCACCGAACCTGAGGAAAACCCACACCCCGCTGCGTGCTGCGAACTCCGGCAACTCGGGTAAAAAAATAATAAATTTCATTGTTCGCGTGAGACTCGGCTGGGAGACGAGTTTTCCGCATCCGCCGTGGGAACGCCGCTACCCTCTAGGATCAAAGGCGCAGATGCAGATGCAAATCGGGTAAATGTACGCAAAATTCGTGTTGCTGATGTCCCATTTCACAAGCAATGGCACATTGTGCTGTGAAGTGGGGATTGTATGAGGCGCGGAGAGCGGAGATATAACAGTGTAATGCCAGTCCCAAAGGGACTTTCCCCTGCTCAAGACAGCACTTCAAATCGCCTTTATGTAAAATTGATTTATGCAAATCGGCCCTCAACCTCCTCCTCGTTGCCTTTTTTCGGCGGTAAACCGGAGGGATAGCCACAGCCATTGCAAAGCGGTGTGGTGGGTGGGACTGTTATATCTCCGCTCTCCGCTCCTCATACAATCCCCACTTCACAGCACAATGTGCCATTGCTTGTGAAATGGGACATTGCATATCGGAGCTTCGTGCTTCGATATAACAGTGTATCTTCAAATCGCCCATGCATGCATGGAGCCACCCAGCTTGCACACAGAGACACATCATAGTGTCGCATTATGCCACACAGAATGCTCTGAACCTGGCGTATCATGGTTTGCCAGAGACATAATTATGAGCACTGCACACAGCAGGGAGGTAGTAAAACCGGCAGAGAATAGCGTGGACAATACAGACTGGCACAGAGGGCCGTACGTGGAACCTGTTAAACACATTGGCCGTTGATAAGCAGAGCATGATGCACATGCCATAATGTGCAGGTCAGTCAGCACTCTGAACAGCAGACTGGGCAGAATTCAGAACGGACTCTGCAAACTGATGACGGGCCTGATTCTGGGCATCTCTGACAGGTCGCCGGCAGTAGAACCGCTGAAAGGTGTTCAAACTCTTTCACCCTACTGCCTTGACAATATCATCCGCAGACATGGAAGCCGCGGCGGCCTGGGAAGCAGATGCACCCCGTGTGGAATGGCCCTTGAAAATGGAAGTGTCAATACCCGCCAAGGCCATCACTTCCAGCAACCACCGTGAAACGCTAGGCGCTGAAACGGGCCGATGAGGCTTCCTGAAGGAGATAAGCAGCTGAGTACTGTCATCTGGTCGCAAGTCTGCAGTACGCTTCACATACTCCTCCAGGACCAACACCGGACAACGACTGGTCTGGCTGAAGGAGGGAATGACCTCCTTCTTGAGAGCCCCAGATCGCTGCGATTTCGACAACGCCGAGAGCTGGAGCACCACACCATCCGAGGTCCGCTGAATGGGAGCGACACTGATGTGACGAATCTCGCTCGCTCGAAACGCACCAACAAGTGCGAGAAGCATAGTGAGCTTGAGAGTCAACTGCTTCAACGACAATGAGGTGCAGTCTGACCAAGACGCTAAATGATCGAGCACAATAGATGCATCCCACGTTGAGGCATACCGAGGTTGTGGAGGACGAGTATTGTAGACACCTCGCATTAAACGTATGACCAACAGATGAGTGCCAGCTAAATGGCCGTCAAAGGTACCCAAGGCATTCGACAATGCAGACCGATACGTGCCTAGCGTACGGTAAGCTTTACCATCGTGATACTGATCTCTCAAGAACTGGAGTATGGTGTCGATGGCAGGTGGTGAAACCGGGTCAAACGACCGTGAAGTACACCAGCCACGCCAGACTGACCAAGCTGATTCGTAATGACGTTGTGTCTTGTCCCGCCATGACGCGGTGAGTAGATTGGACACTGGCTCCGGAAGTCCTCGTGACGACCAGGATTGCCGGACAGAATCCAAGCCATGAGCCGTAGCTGTTGTGCCACCACCAGTGAATGTGGCTCGCCGAGTGCATTCGTCAAGAGCTCTGGACTGTGAGGGAGGAGTATGGGAGTCTCCACACACAGGTCCAACAGCTGAGGAAACCAGGGAGCACCCCGCCACATCGGTGTGATCATTAGACACATGGACACCTCCCGCGCCAGCTTCCGCAGACAGCGCGATCTCAGACTGAATGGAGGAAATGCGTAACCGCGGAGGTCGGACCAACTGAGAGTGAACGCATTGGTCCTCCACGTAAATGGGTCTAGTTGCCAGCTGACATAGCGAGGCAACTGTGTCGTGACCCGAGAAGCAAACAGATCGACTTCCGGTACCGGTGGTATGCACTGGAGCAGACGACGGAATACCAGAGGGCTCAACTTCCATTCCAAGTCGAAATTCAGCCTCGACCAATGGTCCGCCTGCACATTCAATTCGCCCGGCAGGTACTCGGCATGAACCGTCATTTGGTGCTCCACACACCACCTCCAGAGGCGCACGGCTTCCCAATTCAATGCGACACCAAATTGCACACCACCTGCAGTATTGTATTCACACTCAAAACCCTAATGAAAATCGTGTGTGGTCACTCGAGCTATCTGTTACCTCTTTTACGGTGCCCTTGGGCTTTGTGAACTCGGACAGCAGAGCTGCACAGATGGTAACATCGAACAAATGAAGATTGGCAAAGAGTGAGAGACACATGTTCACGCTGCATAGCCAAATGGAAAGCTTTAATCTGTTGACATCTTAAAAGGTGCTAATACATCCTGGATGCGCACTCCAACAGCCTTCCAACTCGGAAGGTTCTAAGTTATTATGATAACATATTGCTGTTGGAGTGCGCACGCAAGACGTTCTAGAGCTGATAGTCAGTAAGTTGTAGAATGTCAGTACCGTTGGTCAGTGTCGTAAAGTGTTATCGCATGGGCTGATTGTTTTGTGACTGGTGTCTGTGTATATTATAGCATACCTTGTACTTCCTTGGTCCTTTTCTCTGCTATAAACTCGCATTTAAATCAAGAATATCTTACGTAGACATGGTTGCACACCAGGCACCGTCCAAGAACCACCGGCTTGGCATGTGATAGTTTGTGTTGTTGCAGAAGGATTGACGGCATAGTCAACAGAACAAGTTATTGTCTTGGTACTGCCGACGGTTGTAGGACCAGCTATTGGATATGTACCTCCAGTTGGATTCGGGGGTTTCTTACAGTCTCCTAACAGCACAGTTCAAAAAGCAATGGAATATTCTAAATTGTTTTGATTGACAAAGTACATTGATAGCTATAAAGAGAACAAATTCCGCTGTCATCGCCACACTACAACAAAGTCATGAAGGTTCACCAAAATCGATTTTCTTGTCACAATCATCAGTGGAAAGCCGTGACTGAAGAATAACCATGCCAAATCAATAATTTATATACATTCAATAATGTGTTACGAGAACAAAACAAAGTGCTAAAAATAGAATGAGGGATGGTGAGACAATAGAAGTAAAGTGAGAGCTAAGTGCAACAGGGGTGAGGAACTAATTGCAACGCTAGAACTGTGTAGTGAGACGAACAATCATGCTGTGCACCTACGAAAACAATCTTAACGCAACTACATGTTTCTTCTGCTTACAAAGATCAGGCTTATGCAAACGAATACAAACAGCCTCAAGTACTTTCAACTGACTAGCGTACCGTGCACGACAAAGAACAGAAAAACTAAAATCATCATACACCTGCAGACACTTAGGGTGAGACAACAGATGAAGAAAAACGGCAGACTTCTTACGATCTAAATCACCATCCGATTCCTCGTCTCCACCAACCGCAACCTCGTCCCCCGTCTCATCTTCCAACTCGTCCTCAGTGTCGTCCTCCGTGTCATTCTCCTCATCACCACTGATCGGTCCCAGGCTCGCTTCACGTTGCTGAACCTCTGTTCGTTGACTCCTCCTTTGATCTTGATGGTAATTTGTTACCATTGTTGTTGTTGTCATTGTTGTTGTTCCTGTTGTTGCTAAATCTTCTGTTCCCAGTGTCTTCGCCGGTGCTTGACATCCAGTACTGTAATAATTCATTGAATAATTAGCCTTTGATCGTCTAGGTCTTTGAATGTTGATCGTGTTGTTTTCTCTGTTGAATTCCGTTTCCTTCAGCCTTCTTTCTTCTTGTTCATGTTCAGTGCTTACCTCATCCATATTTGCCCGTGCCAGCGACACCACAGACTCAGCCCCAGCACTGCCGATGGCAGATGCAGGTGGCGGTTCTGGGGGAGGCAACGGCAACGATGGCGATGGGGGCATCACCATGATCACCTCGCCGCAGCGTCCACTTTGGTCTTGAGCTGGATGTTGTTGTGGTGTACTTTCTTGTGTTGTTATGGTGCATTGTGTTATAACGTTAGTGACAATGTGCACATTATCCATCTCAACGGTTCTCGATACGGGTAATGGAGGCACTATTGCCTTCGATGGCAATTGTGCTAACGATGGCTCTGATCGAGGGTTCTTAGGTGGCCTGCCGCGTTTGGGTCGCAGTGCCCGTGCCGAGCCAGTCAGCATGTGCAGTGGGACGTGCTGCTTGATACGTGCGTTCAGATGTTGAAGAGTCCTACCAACGTACCGACTACCGCATTGTCGGCACTCAAATTGGTATACCAATTTAGATGCGAGTTGGGTTGGTAGGACATCCTTCCTCACCGTGAACGCACGTACAGTTGTGAAAACGGGTACAAAATGTACCGCGTAGTACGTTTGTTGTACAATTTTGCGGACCACGCGACTCATGGATAATGAGAGGTTACCTTTCCAAGGGAGAGAAAGATACGTGGGACATTTGTCCGGGCCAAAACGTATTTCCTTTCTATGCAGCCTTTCGCTCATGAGCTCCTTCAAGAGATCGTCGGGATACCCGTTCTTTAGAAAAACTGACTTTAGGAAGTCCAGTTCCTCAGCCAGTTTGGAAGAGGTGAGTGCCGACAATGCGGTAGTCGGTACGTTGGTAGGACTCTTCAACATCTGAACGCACGTATCAAGCAGCACGTCCCACTGCACATGCTGACTGGCTCGGCACGGGCACTGCGACCCAAACGCGGCAGGCCACCTAAGAACCCTCGATCAGAGCCATCGTTAGCACAATTGCCATCGAAGGCAATAGTGCCTCCATTACCCGTATCGAGAACCGTTGAGATGGATAATGTGCACATTGTCACTAACGTTATAACACAATGCACCATAACAACACAAGAAAGTACACCACAACAACATCCAGCTCAAGACCAAAGTGGACGCTGCGGCGAGGTGATCATGGTGATGCCCCCATCGCCATCGTTGCCGTTGCCTCCCCCAGAACCGCCACCTGCATCTGCCATCGGCAGTGCTGGGGCTGAGTCTGTGGTGTCGCTGGCACGGGCAAATATGGATGAGGTAAGCACTGAACATTAACAAGAAGAAAGAAGGCTGAAGGAAACGGAATTCAACAGAGAAAACAACACGATCAACATTCAAAGACCTAGACGATCAACGGCTAATTATTCAATGAATTATTACAGTACTGGATGTTAAGCACCGGCGAAGACACTGGGAACAGAAGATTTAGCAACAACAGGAACAACAACAATGACAACAACAACAATTCCAAAAAACAAAAAGAGAGCAACACCATCGACCCTGGCCAAAGCCAACCCCTTGCCCCGGCACAGGGCTCACGCTTCAGCCCACTGGTGTCACACGATACTCAATCCTAGCGCTGTCCTCCACACAATATCAGTGAGAACAATACTTTCAATTGCGGAAATACCCAAAAAAACGAAACAAATTACAAAAATAAATAAAAAATAATGGAAGTCGCGAATTTCATCAGCTCGAACGTCAGGTGTCTGTTCAACAAGATGGACGAGCTTAGCCACGTGGCAAAGTTGCAACAACCGTCAATAATCGCCATCCAGGAAACCTGGGCGGATCCATCGGACAGCGACGGGATGTACGCCATCAACGGCTACAAACTCATAAGAGCGGACCGGGACACCTTTGGTGGAGGAGTCGCCACATACATACCACACAGCTGCCAACACGAGACAATTACCATTCCCATGACTCAAGCGGAATGTATTTGGATTAGAATAACAATCGGCCAAGCCTCCCTTGTGGTAGGGAACATCTACCGTCCCCCGCGGTCCGACCTCGCAGAGTTCGTGATGGAACTGGAGAGAGCCATAAAGCTAGTTGAAAGACCCCAGGATGAGATACTTCTCCTTGGCGACTTCAACGCCAAGAACTGCTTGTGGCACCCCAGCGACACCACCGATGCCTTAGGTGAGGACCTGCATTGGCTGTGCGAGACTCGTGGCCTCACACAACACGTCTCCTTTGCCACCCACCTACGCCAACACACACCTACATCGTGCCTGGACCTGGCCATCTCTAGCCTCAGCCGCCATAACATCACCATCACAAGCCTGCCCCCTATGGGTGCCTCTGATCATGTTGTCATACAAGGCAACATACGACCCCAGCAGCACACCACCCACAGAAACAATAATACAAATAATAATAAAAATGAGAGCAGTACTACACAGCAAAGCACCTCCAGCACATATTGGTTGTGGAGCGAGGAACGCATTGCGTCCCTGCGTGAAGCTCTTGCTACCTGCAATCTGCAGTACGATCCACATCCCACTGACCCTCAGCCAGTAACCTCATTCTGGAACTTCTGGAGAGACCAGATACTGAAACTAGCCGTGCACCACTGCCAAGTGACCAGAAGCAAGTCCCGCAAAAAGTCTACGCCCACTCGTCCCTGGATGACGAAGGATCTCCTCAGCCAGATCAAAACAAAGCACAAACAGTTCCGCACCTACAAGGCGACCCAACTAGACTCAGATTGGAAACTGTACACAGCCCAGCGTAACCGAGTAACCGCTCTTTTGCGACAGGCTAAGTCCGACTTTGTCCAGCAAACAACGTCAACGGGTACAAACCTCCACCGTCTACTGAAGCACCTGAAAAAACCGCCTAAGAAAACAATTCCCACACTATCGACAGCCAACTCCACTGCAGCCACGGCTATGGAGAAAGCAACAGCTCTCAACAAGTTCTTTATCTCCCAAAGCCAACAGTCCATCGACAAGACCACCTGTACTACACCAGACATCAACACTACCCCTGACATCAGTCATACTCTAAATACAATCGCAGCAACAGTGGAAGAGGTCGAGAAGCTTCTATGCAGTCTAGACACTGGCAAGAGCCCAGGCTTTGACAACATCCCAACTCGGCTCCTGAAAGAAACTGCAAAGGAAATCTCCCCATCTCTCACTAGTCTCTACAATCTGTCCTTCAGAACCGGAGAAATACCACAGGATTGGAAAGACGCAACTATTACACCCATCCCCAAGTCGGGCAACCCCTCCCATCCTACCAACTACCGACCCATCTCCCTGCTCAGTATAATATCAAAAACACAAGAAAAAATAGTCCACTCTCGTCTGTACAATCACATAGCACCGCACTTACCCTCCAACCAATCCGGCTTCAGGAAACAAGACGGGACCGAGCTGCAACTCGCACGGATCGTCCACCAGATATCCACAGCTAGGGATGCGGGGAAGCATGTTGTAACGTGTTTCTTCGATCTCAGTAAAGCCTTTGATCGTGTATGGCATCAAGGCTTGCTGAAAAAGCTGAGCCACTATGGTGTCGACGGCAAGGCTCACAATTGGCTCGAAGCCTACTTGACAGGACGCAGACAGCGGGTGCAGGTTGAAGGCACAACATCCGCCTTCATACCAATACCAGCAGGAGTGCCCCAGGGCTCGGTCCTGGGACCACTTCTGTTCCTGGCGTACACCATTGACCTGCCCACTGCCTGTGAAAATGCTACAACCTCGTGTAGCCAGTTCGCGGACGACACCGCACTAATTGCCATTGCAGGCAGCTACATTGAGTGTGAGGCTGCGCTACAAAGAAGCGTCGATGCCGCAGCAGAATGGCTAGAGCGCTGGCACCTGCTAGTCAATAAAACGAAAACCGTCATCCTCCCGTTCTACCATGCTAACCGACCCCCACCACGACTACCCGAAATAAAACTTGGCCAAACCCTATTAGAAACAGTAACACAACATCGTCACCTCGGCATCATCTTTCAGCACGACCTAAGATGGTCAGCCCACCTTGACTTTGTGCTGAAGAAAGCCGTAAAATCTTTTAATATTCTCTTTAGGCTCAAAT